CTGATTCTGAGGCGGTTCGAAGGGAACTTTGTCACATTTAGTTGATTTCCTACGAAGTGACCCAGAATAACTGTAAATGACGAACTGCTTACATGAAGTAAAGCCACAAAAAACACATGTAGGTCCATCCTTTATTCCAGTAACGTCACCGTGACTCTCAGCAGCACAACTGGTGTATTTTACCATCAGAACTGTATTCAGGAAAACTTCAGTATTTCTGTAAATAGCAGTTTTCAAACTTCAGCGGGGATCAGAGTCGCAGTGCAGAGCCGGAGGAGGGCTGCTGGCTCTTTGAATTTTGTCTCAATCTTGTCTGAACTTCACCAACTTGTTGGATATTTTTTTTCTGCACTGAACTGAGAAGACAAAGATTTTACACGTCATCCACCACTGCTTGTAGGCCATCTTTACGTCAGAGCTTCAAATCACCTGGTTGTAAGCCCTGCATTCGATTGACAGCCAAGCATTCCTCCTCTCTTGACTCTCAGCTTTGATGTGAGGAAGCTGAAAGTCCTCCAGTGTACAGATGTATTCTGACTGTGCGGCGCTGCTTCAGTGGGAAACTCTCGCGCTGACCTCTGCTGCGTTCTGGACATCCGTCTTCATAATTCAGTCCAGCAGCTCACACAGTCCTCGGTCACCTACGAAACACATTAAACCTCAGTTTGATGAAGAGTTTCTGGAAATCCACACATTGACAGGCAGCTTTAATATTTCTGCTACACTGAGGCTGCGACTGAAGTCACATTTGTTAGAATAATCTATAAAAGAAATGGGGTGGTTTGGTCATTTAGTGGATTTATGTCTGTTACTTTTACTATCTTTGAGGGTCTAGTTGTTGTGTCTATAGCAGGCTTTTCTCTGCCTCAGGAGGAGACATTGGCTAGAAATCTGAACATTTTCTTGTAGGTTTTGCTGGTGGACTACAAACTAAAGAGTCATGCTGCCACCTGGTGTGGTGTGAAGCTGCTGCAGGAGGAGGTAGAAAAACCGCCCAAAGAGATAAACAGCAGCTCGACTCTGGATGGTAAAGCTGACATCTCATCCGTGTTAGTTTCACAGAGCATCAGTCAAAGCAACGCAACTTAGCTGGAGAAGTGTTTTAACGTGTGTGCTGCTTGTTCAGCGGATGGTAAGGATGCTGCCGTCGGGTTATTTTTACCTCAGATCATTAGGGGCCTTCTGCTCGACCAGCTCTGATTTGCTTGAAAGATTAGTTGAGTTTTAGTGTCTAACTCTGTGGGGTCATAACTTTAGCTCTAAAGTAGTCATTTTTTCATCTATAATTATTATTGCTGTAGGAGCTAGGCCTTAATATTTATAATATTTAGGTTTCGTTCCATAATTGATTATTTTTACATGAGTCAGGTTATTCTCCATCATTCATAACACTGCAGGGTTTCAGTCTTAATATGTATTACAGTCAATTAAAGTAGCATTTTATGTAGGAGCTACGGGGATGACATCTGTAAAGTCATAATTAAAACTTAATCTTGAACAACCGACTACTTTGCCTTAACGTCCACTGATGAAATAATTCCTCACAAACCTGCACCCTCCAGCTGTGTCCATCGGCCGAGATGCTCTTCAACGTGTCCTCCAGCCGTCGGCTCATCAGTCAGCCTGCGTCTGCTGATAGGACTTCATGATTTTCTTGGATTCTTACTCCTTGAAGTGCGAAAGTGTTCATCCAGCGTAAACAGGAGCAGCAGGCTGACTTCATGGAGGCGTGTCTCTCAGGCGAGGTGAGGACTTCCAGGTACCAGCGTGCCCACTGTGGCAGCTCCACTTCACCCTCATCTGAACTCCAGAGTGGAAAACCTCTTTTCCGGCGATGGGCTGCCCGCACGTCTGACACCTCCTGAACAGCTCCATCAGGCTACGGCTGTCAACGACTGTGCAGTCTCTGTCGGCGTCTTCGTCCGACTCGTCAGGCGCCATCAGTGAGCTGAACTCCGGTTCTGAGTGGAAGCTGTCGTCCTGAGGGTCGACCGACACCACGATGCAGAAGCTCTCCTCGGAGCCGGCTGCCGGAGGCGGCTGTGTGGAGCTGCCTGCAGCCGAAATGCTCGCCTGATGACAACGACGTGAGACAGAAAACAGGCAGCAGCAGGTTACCGAAGGAATTCATCCCAGCGACAGTTCACTAAGACTTTAATTCATCATCACAGAAACGTGGCAGCAAACTGATGGATGCTTAACTTGTATTTACACTAAAATCTGCCCAATACGTCACACTGACTCGTAAAACCTTAAAAGATAATGTTACCAAACAAACAAACAAGATTTTTAAATAGTTCTCAAGTTGGCTTTCTCTCCAGATGACCAGTGGGCCACGTCCATGTTGTAATTCAGAAGTTTATTAAGTTTACTGTGGACTAGATGGAACATTTTCACACTTCTTTTCTCTTTCCTTTCCTAGTTCACAAGCTTTTTGTCCTTCTCCATCATCTCCTTTACTTTCCTATCCAACACACTTATCTCCTTCGTTAACTCCTCATTTCTTTACTTCTCCATCTTCTCTTCTTTCCTACTCATCACACTTATTTCCTTCTTTAACTTTTCATTTCCTCTCCTAGTTTACAAGCTTTTTTTTTCTTTATTTCCTTATTTAGTGTCCTGTTTTAAAGACTCCCTTCACTGCCTCCTCCAGTCCTTCCCTAGTTTACAAGCTTCATTCCTTTATTTACTCCTTTTCTTGCCTAATTTACGAGCTTCTCCTCCTCCTCTTCCTTTCCTTTCCAAGGTCACACACTTTTTTCCTTCTCAATCTTCTCCTTTTCTTTCTTTGTTTACAAGCTCCATCCATTTACTATCTCCTCCTTTTGTTTCCTAGCTACTCTTTTCACACACTTCTGTCCTTTCCTACTTTCCTACCCTTTAGTGGAGGATCTTTTGGTTGTCACTCGGATGTTTAGGAGAGCTGCAGGACGCCTGTACGAGTGTTTGAACGACTATTTGTGCCTCTGACAGCTTTCAGGGAACTTTAAGAGAACCAACGCTTGATCTGTGTGCGAGTGCATTCCAGTCTAGTGAACGAACCACGTGTGAAGCGCACAAGTGTTAAAAAATAAAGACTTGGAGAAGCTCCACTGACCCACATCTGGACCGATCACTTACCGGAGCTCTCTGTCTCTTCGGGGCCGGAGCTGATGTGTCGGCGCGGCGGGGCTCACCGCTCTGTCTCCCGGGGAACACCGACGGCACCGCGCCCCCCTTCAGCATCGGTTTGGGCGCAATGTTGAGTATTTTAGCCCGAAAGTCCTCCTCGTAGTCCTCGGCGGTGAAGTGCAGGCTGCACACTCGGACTCCGCTGTACCTGGACACCGGGGTGTTCTCGTCGAACCGCGGGTTCTGGATCGCCTTCAGCCATGTCCGGCAGCGCTGCGGGTCTCTGGTCGGTAGACCGTGAAAAACGACTCCCATGGACTTGGCCTCGTCGTAGCCTTTACATCCGGGGACGCAGCACCTCCACGGCATCGTAGCGGTGTCACCTGCTCATTAATCCGCAATGAAAGGTGTCGTTTTACCCACAGATTGCAGGGAGGCAGCCCGTTAGCTTAGCAGCTAGCGGTTTAGCTTAGCTTCTTCTTCTTCTTCTTCTTCTTCTTCTTCTTCTTCTTCTTCTTCCGGTGGCGGATTCCCGGCAGCTGTGAGGTGCAGGTTGCCCCCTGCAGGCTGCAGGCGGTCAGTGCAGCGAGAGAAACATCAGGAGTTCATTGATCCCTGAGCTGAAAATTCACGTTAAATAAATAAAATTAAATAATTAGAAATAAATGACCAGACAATAAAAGGGGCTTTTAGTGCATTTACACAATATGTCACTGTTATTTATATGCAGGGCCCATTAACTTAGCTGCACTGTCTTAATAACTTAATGTCTTAACTTTCCACCAGCACCTGATTTTAGGTGCATCTTCCGAACCTTTTTGTGATAATTAATTTATTTTAGGGAGAAATAGTTTTTTTGTTTGTTTAAATACTAACAAAGATAAAAAGAAAAATGTAAAAAAAAAAAATAAAAAATTGAATTAAGAGGTTCAAACTTTGAGGAAAAAAATGCTCAGAATGATGGTGAATGTGGACGTGGCTTTGGCTTGTTCTCATATCTCCTCTGATATTATCTTAACAGCATTTTTGAACTGTAGCCATAAAACATCCTGAAGTGAATCATTAAAAGCTGTGATGTTTAAAGTCAAGGCAGCACCTCAGAGGCTGTTTTCAAAAAGTAATCCAAATTATTAAAAATCTGTCCTCGGCTGCTCATCTTCTTAATCTCTCTTCTTTTTGTGCAGGACTTTTGTTACAGCGCTCTAATCGCTGCCTTGTTGTTCATCTCCTCCATCGTCTTTGCCGCCAACAACAGCGGCACAAGTCTGGAAATAAGCGCTGTGGTGAGAAAACATCTGTTCACACACTGCCGTCCTTTCCTACTGCCTCCGTTCCTTCCTCCTCTTCTCTCATTTTCTTTCCTTCACTGCCTCCTGCTTTTCTTTCCTACCTCTTCCTCTCTTTTTCTTCTTTACACACTCATTTCTTTCCCTTCCTTGCCTCCTCCTTTCCTTCCCTACCTGGTTGGCAGGTGTAGAAGCTCTCAGGTGTTATTGCCTGTTTCCTCTGAGCTGATTGGCTCCTCCTCTCCTCCTCCAGATGTTTGGTTTCCTGGCCATGTTTGCGTTTCTCGCTGACGTTGGCCTATTTTGGAAGACCAAAGGGTTTCCTTTCACGAACAACCCGAAGGCGCCGCCCAGTAATGGCGGCACCGGGGCGGTGGAGCCTGCGGCAGAGAAAGAGAAACTGACCAACGAGGCCAACAACGCCGAATAGATCTGAGGCCACCGGTTGCTTTACGCACTATTCTTCTAACGTGACACCGGATGACGGGGCTGCAGAGTCGACATCCTTTTAAAGTCTTTTTAAATAATGCGTTTAGTCAATGTTTCCCAGTGCTGAGGGCTCTGAAGTGATCAGTCAGCCAATAATCAATCAATCCCAGTGCAGAGCATCCAGCTTTGAGTTTGTGACGTAAAAATACAGAAACAGGCTCCTGTTTTTTTGTAGAGGTAAAATTTCCACAGAGACACTAAAACCGTCAAACCACTGAATGTTCTGCTGTAACGTTTGTTTTTTAACATTTGAATCGATGCAGTGACTCAGAAACGCGTGGAGTCGAAGCTTTGCTTTATCGTCAGTGTCATAAAACTAATGAACCCATTCTGTCTGCTTTGACAAACAGAAGTCAGTCGTAACACTCATGTGATGGATTCTTTTAACGGTTAAACTGGGTCTTTGTTGACGTCGGGACCCTTCGTGTGGTCCCAAGATAAACCTGAGGAGTCACAAATTACGAGGAAGGCGTCCCACAAAATTCAGTTTGTTAAATATTTATCGCACATCTTTGCCTCCTCACGTTGCACAAAAATTGAAAAACACATTTTATTTTCCTGCTGTGACCCTAAAAGCCTCCTGACAGCTCAGATTTATATCCTGATACACTGATAAAAAAAAAATAATGTAATTTTAAAGAATATCCCCCTTTTTTTGTTTTTTTTTAAACCTTTTTTTCCACATTCTTGAAATAGAAATCAATAAAATTACAAAAGCAGCAAAAACTAAGATGTATTGCTTTACTATCCATCTATATGTATATAGATGGATGGTAAAGTTATGGACAACAACTCACTAAAATTAACTGTAGATTGTTTTTGTAGAGACAAAAGGTCTCCCCGTGCAGCGTGGGTTCTCTCTGGGTTCTCCGGCTTCCTCCCACAGTCCAGAAACATGCTGAGGTTAATTGGTGATTGTAAATTGTCCGTAGGTGTGAATGTGAGCGTGCTTGGTTGTCTGTCTCTAAGTGTAGCCCTGTGATAGACTGGTTACCTGTCCAGGTGAACCTGCCTTCACCCTGAGTCAGCTGGGATAGACTCCACCCCTCTAGTCAGGATTAAGGTGTAGAGATGATGGATGGATGGTCATACAACGGTAAATCTGTTCATTTTATTAGATGGATCTACTTGTTTTAACCTTAAAGTTCTGTCAAATTCTTAAGATTTTTAATGAAAAAATCTGATATGATCTTTAAAAAAAAAGAGATTCTTGCAAATTTTAAGCTGAATTACTAGTTTTAGCTCTTTGACATTTTTACATAAACTTGATTTTTATTTTTTTTACATCAAACATATGATAATTTGTGTTCCAGCATTGTTCAATCATTTTATAGGTAATTTCATTGTTTTCACACATGTAAATAAAAAAAAAAAACAAAGCCCAAAAATTCTACACAATCATGGAACATTAGTGTTTTTAATGGGACAGTTGTTTTTTATTATTTTATGGCAGTTTCAGGAAACTAGAACATGACTTATTTTTGTTGTTTACAGCGTACCTGTTAAATGTGTGCTGAAATATTCCACAAATAAAATCTGTCGTCTTATTCACAGTTTTTTTTTTTTTTTGCAGATGTTACTACTGCATCTAACACAAAACTAGTTTTATAGACAGAGACTATCAGTGCAAGTAGTCAGCAATAAATTAATCAGGATTTCATTTGAATATTGGTGGCAGGGAAACATGACGCTTCCTCTCCTGCATTATGGTCAAAATTTATGCAACAGCTTGTTCACTTTCTGCATGAATTTGGTGGAAGTGCTTTTCTTTATGGAAACACTAAATTCAGTCAGAAGATGCAAATTGAAACTATCACAGAATACAAACAGATCCAGCTGTGTTCTCTGCAGTAGATTCAGAAAAAGAAGGAAATGCTTCTTGTGTGAGAAAATGTACCAGCAGTTTTGCAAAATCCTTGAAAACTTTGTAAAAGTCTTTCATGTTTTTATTGGAAGGACCAACGCATGTGTTCTAAATGTTTCTACGCCTGTAATTGAAGTCAAACTGTTTGTTCCTGTTGTTCATGAAGAAGTTTTTTTTGCTGATGATGATTTCTTGTTCCAGTCCGTGTGATGATTTGAAATGTCCGGCAGAAGGCGCTATTCAGTTTTCTCCTTGCTGGACTATGTTTTGTATATAAAAGACGGATGAAGCCTTCAGGTCTGAACAGTGAAGTCTTAAGCTGCAGTCTGTCTAACAGCCAGCAGGGGGCGACGCATCTGCAGATCTGATTGTATTGAAGTCTATGAGAAAATAAACCGACTTCTTACTTGATTTTTTTATGTCACTGAACAGCTTCCTGATGAGTTTGTGGTCTCTGTTGCTAGTTTCAAGTCTCCTTCAACACTGTCTGCTTGGTAAAATTATTTAGAGGGAATTAAATGATGAAGCAGGATGTGTTTCATGGCGAGGCGTATAGAAAATGAACAGAACAATTATGCAGAACTTTAAGCCTTAATACAATTTAAACGGTTACGTTTTATAAAGATTCACACTCTGTACGGCCGCCATGAAATCAGCTTCAGAGACCAACAGAGTTTTTTTTGCAGCAGGCTGTAAACACGTTAGTTTTGCTGTAAAGTTTTAACACGGAGGTCTGTTGGAAGTGACTCACTGTGGAGCCTCCAGTGGACATTAGAGGAACTGCAGCTTTTGACTCGAGCTTCATTTTTCAGTCCTGGAAGCTGCTGCTTCAGTAAAAACTTTATTCCTGCTGTTGAATCTCTTTGTATTTGCATCCAGTTGCCACCAGTTTAGCCTGGATCAGAGCAGTTTGAGTTACTGGAACATTTTTTTTTTTTGCCATCATTCTTTGTCGTTCTTGTCAAATAGTAAAAAAAAAAAATCAAATGACTTTCTGTGTTTTTTTCCCTGAACACTTTTCTACTTCCTGTTTCATATCAACGCTAAAATGTGCCTTTTAAAAATAGTTTTATAAATGTTGTAAGAGTTTAGTGTCAGGTTTCATTTTAAAGTGTCGCCTTTGTTGTTTTTAACTCTGAACACTCTAATCAGTCACATCTTCTATATCTGATGATTTATTTTTGTCAAATTTGAATCTGTCTTAAGATCAATGATCACGTGTGGAAACAGCTGTTTGGTTTTTACTGATTCTAAACATCTTTTTTTTCTTCTGATATTAGTCTGAAGATGATCAGAATTTGTAATTATTTAAGGACATTTTTCACCCGAGCATGTTGATTTTATGAGCAAAACATCTGAGTGTATTTAATTCAGACTTTGCCGACTGGATTGTTTTTATCCACATTCACTGGGTTCATCACTCTGTAGTCGTTTTGTGTCTCTTTGCAGTCGTTGTGTGTCGCTTTTTTAGAGTTGCTTTGTGTCACTCTGGTCAATTTGTCTTTTTAGAGTCATTTCGTGTCTCTTTTCAGTCATTCTGTCTCCTTGTGGTCATTTTACTTCTCTTTGCAGTCATAATGCGTCTCCTTGTGGTCATTTTGTGTCTGAAGTCTTGTATTGTGTTGCCTGCAGACCTTTTGTCTCTCGTTCTGTGTCTCTGCAGTCGTTTCATTTCCTGTCCCAGTGTATTGAACTGTCAGCAGTCAGTGAAGCCGGGAGCCTCTGGACCTCCAGTCCTCGTACCAAGTTCAGTCATTCTTTTGTTTAGAGATAAAATCATCATGTTTGAATGAAACGGTCCATCACTGTTCTGGTTGTAGCTGCCAGACAAACACCTGAGCAGGTAGAACTTGGATCTGCCTCCGAACACGAGGAGCTGATCAGTCACATCAACATGTTTAAAGTTTGCTCGGATTTAAGTCTTATGCCCAGAAAATGAAGCGGACTGCAAGTCAAAGACAAAGAAATCCCCGTTTTTCTCTTCTTTTGATGGAAAATGTTTTATTCCCATCCTGAGTTATCACATATTTCCTCTTTTTCCCTGTAATTTCATGAAAAGCAAAAAAATAAATTGAAATCCTGCTTTTTTTTCTTCACAGATGATGAAATCAATGAGATTTTAAAATGTTGGATTCTAATTCTGACTTTTGAATGAGACTGAAAACACTTTAAATCTGCTGCAAAACACAGAACAACAGATTGTTTTTTAGTTTTTAAGGGTTAAAGATTAACAAGGTTTTTAGTTTGTTGTCTTTTGCCTGAGTTTAGTAGAATTAAGTGGAATCGACTTCAAGACAATCATAAAAAAAATCATTAATTCCAGAATTCAGCAGAGAACTGAGGCAGAATATTTTATTTCTCACACCAGCCAGACGTTCCAGTTTGTTTGGTTTTTTTAACATATACGTATCCACACATTCATATTTAGGACCAAGTGAAGTGTAAAACCTGTTTTTGTAATATAAATATATATAAATCTTCATCGTACTGCTCTGCTGTGCTTGAATTCCATTTATGTGTCAAACTCAACACTGTGTGAAGGTTCAGCGACGATCACAAACTGCTGCCATCAGTGTGTTATGCTGTCGTGTAATAAACCGATTTTCAATAAATAAATGTCGTTTTTTTTGTCATTTTTCAACATTGAAAGCCAGAAAACAAATAAAAGATGCTGATGTTTTATGATGTTTGTCTCCTGATTTT